TTCTGGCACACGTACCATAGATTTACCACCACAGGGCTATAGAAATTCTCAGTAACCCAGATCATGGATGTCCCAAAGGTGCTTTTTCAAGAGGCAACTAGACTTTCTGGTTTTTCTTTGAAGATGTTTCACTTCTCATACAAGAAGCTTCTTCAGCACTGAAGAATCCTTTTTTTTACAATGCACTTTTTTTAGTCTAAAAAAGTGCATTGTAGAAGGTTGTCATGTAAAAGTGATTTTCCTAATTTTTACATGATGCATGGACTTTCTTGCTGGCTATGAACCAAAGATGAATAGACTTAATGGAATTAGTCCTTTTATTGAAAAGTGTATTCTAAAATGCTTTGCACTGCAAATTTGCTTTGGATCTTTTGTGCTGTGATTGCATATTTATGAATATGGCCTTAATTGATTCCTTTTTTTTATTTTTCTCATTAATCTTTGGATTTTGTTCAGTGTTTGGCATATTTGTATGTGATGTTTACCAACTCTTTCTGTTAACTACCACAGGTTTACACCCTACGAGTGGTATAACCCCCACCCATGCAACCCTGACTCAGATGTGGTGGAAAACAATTTTACTTTACTTAATAGTTTCTGGTTTGGAGTTGGAGCTCTCATGCAGCAAGGTACAGCGGTTACCCTTCACTCCTGCACATATCCCACAGTTTGATGGAGGGCTGCTGTGCTGGTAAACTCCACTATTGGTAGCTATAGCAAAAACTTGGAAGCTTAATTTGGAAGGAAAGATATAATTACATATGTTTATGTATTGACAATTTAACGATGCACTTGGGGAGAATGGCCATGGAACCCAACTGAAAAGAGCCCTTCATTTGAAAATACTTGTCAAACTTACGTTACTTACCAAAACAGAATTAAGGCTTCTCTGCAGATATTTAAGATGTTTGTCTCTTCTAAATGTATCCAATCTTTGATGCTCACAATTGCAGTTGATTCTAGAAATTGCACAAAAGGCCCATTTGGCTGTGAAATTAATAGGATGCTTTTGATACTGTATGGTATTCACTGGGAGACTTGAAGTAATGCATTTTGCCTACATATGACATATACATTTATATAAAGTTTATGTTGCTGTGAATCCTTTCAATACTGATCACACATTAAGCAAATTATAAGAACAGACATTTTTAAAAGCTTTGCTAGTATAAAACAGTGTTATAATCTGGAAAAAATATAAGCCATTTTTTTTTCTTGTATTCGTCTAGCTTTTTTGGTATATGTAGGAAGATTTACATACCAAAGAATATTGTACACAGGGTGAGGAAATCTAATTTCATGCATTAGAGTAAGTTCTTTTTGTCATTTGGTGAATATAACACATACAATTTCTCACTACTGGACAGGTGTATACTTCAGAGTGCTTTATGTATAAATTTGGTGTTCTTAATAATCTTCTTTTTTTGGAGTTTACCAACATCCACAACAAACTGTGGGATGTCGTGTCTGCAAGTTACCACTACCTTGGATACATGACAGTCAGCCCCAACCAGACTCTGCTTGTCTTTGAAGAAGCACTAAAAAGGAAAACTAAACTCAAACATTTGTAAATCGCAGCAAATATTTCCATGTACAAACTTGTGGTACGTGTGGACTATGAGGGCAGCATCATTAACATGAAGCGTTTGAACAAGAAATGAATGGCTTTAACCTCTGCACCTGTTGGTATGCTCTTTTTTTGCTCTTTATGCTGCTGAATCATAAAGGATTGTTTATTAAATTATAAGTTGTGATCATCAGACTTTCTCTTTTCTATAGAGGTGGAGCAAAGTCTGAATCAGGATTGGCTGTCATGTCTGCCAAAACAAATAAAACAGACCCTAGAGAGTCTTCAGCAAATATTGTCACTCATGTGTAACATTTATATCCCCACCATTCCCTGATTTTTAAATCAGATCAATTTTTTTCTTTGAACATGCAATATAATTAGAGATTAATTTATATAGAAAACAGGTTAAAATCCCCCGCTTACAAGCCTATATAACCACCGTGAAGTTGTTATTCTAAACCAGAAAGCTGTTATTACTAATCCCAATTCTCTGGGAATAACTTCTTTGAATTCAATTCAATCTTAGATTTTAGTAAATATACCATACTTACTTGAGTCAATATTCAGCATGCAAATTAATCAGTAGAGTTATACATTCCAATGAATGCAGCTTTGTAAGACTCAATGATAAACCTGTTAAGAATAATAGATAAGATTCCATAATGTACCATAAAAATCAGACACAATAATTTTCTGCACATACCACAACTATGCATATACAGAACAGACAAATTTGTTTCATGTATTTAGCAGATAAATAGATGCCAAGAGAGATGGATATAAAAAGTATCAGTCCCCTTTCCCCATAATATGAATTGGGAAGGATGCTCACATAGCAATTGTAAGGGTTATTTATATCTGATCATTCATTTTTCAAAGAAGCCTGCATTCTGCTCAAAATCAGGCATTTTTTTCTTTTGGATTTAATCAAAATCAGGGGAATATCATTCTGTCAGCCAATGGTATGGTTTCAGCTTTTCTGTGGTTAAAGTGGTATCTTCTGATACCTTGTATGATTGGCAACAAGCAGATGTCTAAATGAAATGCATTCTTTCTTTTCACACCAGCAATGGGCTTTTCTTATAAATCAAAGGAAAATCAAAATTAGCAATAAAGAATGTAAGAATTTCAGAACCTCCCTGTGCAGAACATCTATCTTGGAAGCAGAAATCATTTTCACAAGTTGCAATGCTATAACACAGTGAGCTATTGAATTACTTTTCAACAGCTGTTATTACGGCTATTGTTATTACAATAATATCAACAGAGCTAAGTTCCGTTGACTATCTTATATTAATACAATTTGCAGCCTTAAACCATACCTAACACAAACTTTTATCTGAAATATTTAATTTGGAAAATACCGTATTTAAATTAGATATTTTCCAATATTTAATTTGGAAAATGCATTTCAGTTTACAAATAAAGATATTTTCCAAGGCCATAAATTATGCTTTTGCCTTCCACATAATTGTCTTAGAAGATATAGCATCTTGGTACCAAAAAAAGTTTGGTAAACAAATCAGAACAGTTAATACACTTGCATGGTAGTCAGCATATAAAGAGTTTGACCACCTGCTGAGATGTTGTGAAGAGGAAGAAGTTTAATTGCTGATGCTTTTTAAGCATCAGTAGAAATGCAATAAAAATTTGAAGGATTTTTTTTATCTCCTTGATATAAGGGTTGCTCGGGTTTTTCTGCAATTGTTTATTGACAGATCAGAAATCAATCCCCATATTCAGCTCAAAACTCCAGATGCAGTTTAAATGGTGTTGTTTTATCTAAGTTATATGATGCAGGGTAGTTTTCATTTTATGTAACAGGGAAATAAGGAACAAATAAAGGAAAGTTGAAAGATTATTTAAAGGTAGCAGTGGCAGCTTCAACAAACTAATTTGTTTATTGTCTTGCCTCATATCAAATTTTTAAGAGGTAAATCTGAAAAAATGGGTATTGAAATTCAGAGCCCAATTTCCAATTAAAATTTTGAATTCAAAAGACTTCCCAAATGATAAAAGCTCCCCATTTCATGCTTGAATCAGATGTCCTGCATCTAAAACAATATTTCAGGCTTGGGGCAGGGTGTCTTGAATTTCATTTTGCGTAATCCTAGTCTGCAGTAATATTAGGATTGTATTCACTTTTAACAAAATAGGCACAGTCAAAGGATAACTAGGGAGGATTGTACCAGAACATTTTTGGAGATGCTTGGGTAACTCAGTTGTAATAAACTGAACATTTATTGAAAATATTATGTTTTCTGAGAATAAATAAATGACAAGGTTCTCCCCAAATGTATGTACAGAAGAATTTCTCACTTGATATTATGTGGTGGGAGGAGTAATATGAATAGTTAGAATGAATGTCGATATTTCCCAGGGTGAGGAAGAATAGTGCTTTAATAATTAAATAATAGGCAATTATCCATTTACTTTCCTGACCTTGCTATATTTAATGTTGCCTAATTCTTCATATATTTTGAGGCATTCAGTAAAGGAAAAGTAATATATCCTCATATTATAGGGCATAATATTGAAAGTTCTTTCATTCTGATTCTGGTCCTATTTATTACAGCAACATCAATAAAATCTACTTCCAACTAAGAATATCCATCATCATACTTCAGCTGTTTTACTTCAAAAAGCAATTAAGGGACATGTTAATCATTAAGGAAAATAAATAAATGGCAGTTCTGATCCAAAGACATCTATTTGTTTGTCATCTAGCACTGCATTCATCTTATGAAAAGTATTTGTTGAGTCTATCATTACTCTATGCATCTAAATTATAGCATCAAATCATTTTTGTTCTGTATTCATAAGTTAACATGTTTCTGAAAATAACATTCCATAGCGTGATCTTAACATTTCTTTTCATCCTATTGTAATACAATTGTTTTGATGGTGTCATGCAGGATCAGAGCTGATGCCAAAAGCTCTTTCCACCAGAATAGTAGGAGGAATATGGTGGTTTTTTACCTTAATTATAATCTCATCCTACACTGCTAATTTGGCTGCCTTCTTAACGGTTGAGAGGATGGAGTCACCTATTGATTCAGCAGATGATTTAGCAAAACAAACTAGGATAGAATATGGAGCTGTTAGAGATGGATCAACCATGACATTTTTCAAGGTAAGATGCTATGAAAACTTTTTGTTAGTGAATTGCTATGATTTTTTAATACTTTGTTATATATTGAATAGTACATTTGAATGATGAGAATAAATTATGCAGGTAAATCAAAACTGGATATACATATTGGATTTCTGATTGTTGGATCCTTCTGACTATAGGTGTTTACTCAAAATTATGTTGCTCAGCCTTCAAAAAAAATCCCAACCTTTTCCTTTGCCCCCCTGTAAATAGGCATGGCCAATATCAATTTGGGATTTAAGCCATAGTTTGGGGGGGGAGCCCAACAGTGGTTAAATAAGCTGTTTTCTAAAAAAAAAAACATATGAATATGATGTTACATTTAAATTATATTTAGACTACAGTTCTTTAAATTTATTATCTCAGTTGATTTTAATGTTTCTGGGTTTTCACAATATTAAATACACTTAGTCACACCAAGAGCTTTCTCTATAGTTACATTTCTCAGGACCTGGACCTAAAATTTGGAAGGTGCACATGTTTTTTATTTTTATATTAAGTAGAAAATTAACTTCCTTACAAAAAAGTCTCACCTAAGATCATGTTTCTGATGATCCTATTTACAAATAATGCTAATAAACTGTGTACAATATGCATTTAATATTCTATTTAGTATGGCTTTAGTTTTAGACTGCATGCAAAGATCATTAAATTGGAAATAAGAAAAGACTGTGCTGAACTTTGGAAGACTGCATATGCAGACAGGGAGAAAAGGCTGAGTAAAATCTTTGGGCAAATCAGTGCTTCATTTAAACATGGAATTAAATGAGATGGATTGGCTTTCTAGAAAAAAACAGATTCAAATCTGAGTAGAGGATTGATTTTCATGGCCATAAAGTTTCTGGTCAAAAGCAGGTATTTACAGGCTTCCTCTTTGTGAACTACTCATGTGTTACCATTACCTTGTGTAAAAGGAAGGTCTTACCACACCTGCAAAGATTTGGGAAGCTTGTAAATAGGCAGCCAAAGATATGGAATCCAATAATAATAAAGAAAGGAATCCATAATATGTACGAGTTCAAGTAATTTTTCAGAATTTAACATATCCCTGATAATCCATATTGTGCTTTATTGGGAAAGAGATCGTCTCTCTGTCTTAGTTTTTTGCTTCCAGTTACTTATTTATCAGCAAAGCTGTTCAGGATAAAGATTCAATTCCCACCTTATTGTTATTTATCATTACTTATTTAACTATCAAAAATGCTCACTGTATATTGTTCTCTGAGTATGTGTGCTTTGCTGATTTATGGTACTATGTGGTAATATGGTGACAGACATGCTTATTATAATATTCTGCCTGTATAAAAGGCACTTGATATTTAAGTCAACATTAACAATTAAATACCATAATAAAAGTTAAAGTACAATAACTCTACGATTAAGTGATAATTTAAAGATACATCTAAATGTTGATCATTCCAGTAGCAACTCTCTGCCTTGGGATCTTTCTTTCTTTGTAAAAAGATTTCAGATCGAAGTAACTATTTCTATTCTTCTATTCTCAGATCGACGTAGCTATTTCTATTAATAAGTGATTTGAAAATAATGTGAACAGATAGGAATATTCCTTCACATAATACACTGTAAATGGAACTAGCTTGAAATATCAGCATCATGGGAAACCTAGAGGTTTTTCCTATGCATGCTTCTCAGCTCATTTTTATTTAATGTTTGAAAATTTGTAGAAAAGAACATGTTTTTCCTATGCTTGACTAAATAGCATATAGGTTGATTTCTGGCAAAGAAAGAAAAAGATTATCTTTCATTATTCCAAACCCACATTTCAATTCCCTCCCTCCCTCCTTTCTTTCTTTCTTTCTTTCTTTCTTTCTTTCTTTCTTTCTTTCTTTTTCTTTCTTTTCTTATCTGACTCCCACATATAGTTTGTATATCTTTTTTAAAAAAAAACATTAACAACAATCTGTAAGACTTAACCTTACAATCTACCATAGCCAAGCAGAGGAACCACTATTCTGTTATAAATGCACTCTAAAGTGCACACCCCAAAAAGGACATTAGAAGCCACATGAACAATCTATTGGCTGATGCAAATTATTTGCATGTAAAGATGCTGTCCACAGAACTAAATTTAGCATAAATCATTTACAGACATCAGGGTTCTTTTTTCCTAAGGTCCAAATCAAGGATAGTGTCATCTTGGAATGCTTAGCAATTAACATGCATGAAGAATATTGATTTCTACTGCTTATAATTTCTTTTCTTAGAAATCCAAAATATCAACATATGAGAAAATGTGGGCTTTTATGAGCAGTAGGCAACTGACAGCTCTGGTGAAGAACAATGATATAGGCATCCAGCGGGTGCTTACTACTGATTATGCTCTGCTGATGGAATCAACCAGTATAGAATATGTCACTCAGAGAAACTGCAATCTCACCCAGATTGGGGGACTCATTGATTCAAAAGGTTATGGCGTAGGAACTCCAATTGGTAAGAAATGTTATATATAGATGGTAGATTGCTGATGGTAAGCATTTTGGAATACTTCATAATACTTCATAATATAAAACAAATTCTATTTAACATGATGTCAACAAGAGTTTTGTAGGTTGAGAAGCAGGAAAAGTTATATTATATCCTATAAATAAATGCAGATAGTTCACACACAATATTATGCTACCTCCTGACTTGTTTTAATCAATTTAATCCAAAGAGTTTAAAGCAGCAATTTATAGCAGCAATCATCATTGCTGCTATTTTTAATCTCTGATTCTTTAAAATAATTAAAATATATTTCATGTTTTTCTTTATTTTAAGAAAGTATAAGTACACAATAGTAACAATGTTAAACTAAATAAACCAAAAAGCTAAAAATGATTCTTAAAAAGAAAACTGTAAAAAGAAAAGCAAAATTTTATATTGAACTTGTAACCATTGGTTTACAAAATATAGCATATAATATTATAATGAAAATATTATTGTAAAATATCATGAAATCTACATATGCCAATCATCAACTTATTGCTTCATCTTTTCAGCAGTAGAAAATAATGCCTTTTGAAGGACAGATAAATCACATATTTCCAAATGCCAAACCTCAATATCTGGATTAATATCATTTATCCAAATTCTCAATATTTCTTAATGTTTTTTTAAAAGAATTTTTAAAAAATTAATTGAAAAAATTAAGTAATAATAATAAAAGACTGTACAAACTAAATTAAGAAAGAAAAAGAAACAATATAACATGCAATAAAAGAAAGGGAAAAAGAGGAAGAGGAAAAAAATATTTAAAGAAGCAAGTTTGATCTTCATAATAGGTACAAATAAACTTAGTGATTCTTTATCCTCTACCCAATATGGGCATATGCAAATATCTCTTCTTCCTATATCTTTTATACTAATACTCTTTATTATTCTTTATAATAACTTTTATAACAACTTTAATCATTATAATTTCCAATAGAATAGAATAAAATAGAATATTCTTTATTGGCCAAGTATGATTGGACACACAAGGAATATGTCTCTGGTGCATAAGCTTTCAGTGTAGATATAAGCAACAAAGTACTATAATAATAAGATACCAACAGTAAAAGGTAAAAGGAAAAATGAGAAGATTAATCGTAATATAGCCCTACTACATGGCTAAATACTGTATCTTTAGACATAAGACAGTGCTGCAGAAATTAGATGTTCAGCAAAGTGATGGCGCTAGGGAAAAACTGCCCCTATACCTAGTTGTTTTGTCATGCAATGCCCTATAGTAGCGTCTTGAGGGGAGAAGTTGAAACAGTTTATGTTCAGGATATGGGGCGGTCTGTAGATATTTTCTCAGCCCTCTTTCTGGCTCATGCAGTATGCAGATCCTCAATGGAAGGCAGGCTGATTACAATTTATTTTTTCTTGCAGTCCTAACTATCTGTTGAAGACTACCTGTCCTATTTGGTTGCTATATCAAACTAGACAGTTATAAAAGTACAGATGACTGATTCAATGATATCCATGCACATCAACATTTCAGTCATGGTGTCAGCAAAAACTTCTTAAAGGATTCCCAGAGTTTTATAAAAAATCTATTTTATTTTAACGTTGGTCAAACAAACCAACTTTGCACTCCTTCCTTTTGCTTCTAATAAGCTTGATATTTAATTTATTCAAAAGTTGTCATATGATTTTAGCTCCTTTTTCTTTTTTCCATTTCAAAGTCTTCTTCAAGGCTTTAGGAAAATCTTTTTTTGTAAATCCACTAAGTAATCACTATCCAGACGGATGATGCCTGTTGGCTTATCATTTGTATTTCCACTTTAACTGCCATCTTTTTGTTGTAATCCCCATTTTTTTTTAGTTTTCCAATATTTCAACATATTTTTTATATCCTAATATTTTTGCATTGGATGAAGTTTCTTTCAATTATTGATCCTGTAAATCTTTGAGAACATTCTCTTTCACATCTGTCATTTCTTTTTTAACACCTTTTGGAAATAAACTCCCAGGCCCCAGGAACCAGGAGCAACATATGGAATTACTTCCCAGCACTTTCCTTTATTATCCTTCACCTGTAAACAAAAATATTGCCAACTAAACCAACTACTTGTATTACTATAGATATATTCTAAGAATTGCTAGGGAGGAGTCTGCTTTACTTTCTTTCTCCCAAAGTATCTAACCTTATCTGCAACTTTGTCCTCTGGGATGCAGCCCTTCCCTCCTGGGAATCCAGACTGCATCCACCACATCAATCATCCAAAGAAGCAAACATCATTGCTGACATTGGAGCTGCTATAGTTTCTGTCCCCATAATTTAAATATGTCATATCATTTTTTTTGTCATTTTTGTCCCAATGCTGACAAAAAACAAAAGACAAGCCTCTTTTTTCTTTTATGGCTCAATACTTAGTCCCCTCTAGTGTCCAAAATAGGAAATCATAAAATCTCAAATTTGCCTTTATCTCCAACTTCTGTTTTTACTTAAAATAGACTAAATAATTTAATTCCCACAAAGGTATCATTTATTTATATAATTATAATTCAAAATAATTATTGCCAAAATCTTTTAGCAAAAAAACTAAAATTCCAAATTTATCCTATTGCTTATTTTTTTAATAACTTCCTTAGTCTTACTCAGCTTTTTGTCATTTAATTCAAATACTTTAATTTTTTAAACTTATAATTTTTTTTGTTCTAGATGAAGGTAAACTCACAAAAATTGTCATTTTGAAAATCTCTACTAGCCTTAAAATAGTTACATGAAATTTCCAAAAGTGATTAGAAAGTGAGGTTAGTGAACTCAGTGTCCTTAAAAAGGTTCTTCTGTGGTTGGAAGTGTGATGGTTCTCCTTTGTCTCCCAGTGCTCAAACCCATATAAAATGCCTGTCCTGCAGTTGCCTTGTGAAAAACACCCATTCAGAATACCACTGAATGATCTCCCACCCTGTCCTTAGCCAGGGAAGTACTATGGGATGGTCTACTTATTGGTATTTTGGTCAAGACCATGAGATTGTATCTGCTTATTCAGAAATTACTACTTCACCATTCTTCGGCTAGTAGTCAAATCTTCCAGTAGAGAAAATCTGATGTTCTTGCTTTGAATCTATTGTTAGAATGCAATCTAAATATGTATTTTATTAATCAGTTTTAATCTCAAATCCATCAGTACTGTTTAAACTTACTTAAGAACATGAAACCATTTATGGGGCATTGGTGAAGATTCCAATTCTTTGGTCCATGTTTGATCTACTCCAGTACTATCCACTTTAAAAATATCCACAAACTTTTAATAACCATATGTTGAGAATATGTTCAGTTATGCATTTCAGGTGTCTTTGAAGCCGCCAAAGCATCTGGCCCAAACTGAGCTATTAAAACTTGCTTAAGCTGGGAATATTGGCATTATTGTGAATCACAAAAGACCAAATTCAAATCTTTAAAGTAATAATTCTTTTATTATTGATTTAAAGTCACCATCCCAGATTTTGCCAATATATCCACAATCTGTTTGTGAGAAAGCATTTTTTTCACCAGTCTCTCTGGAGAAGATATAATATTGTTTTTGTAAGATTCTTAGATAAAGATCAAATTTTGAAATATCTAACTGGCTATCATATGTTTTACTTCTACATAAAGTTCTTTTGTAACTATATTACAAATCTGATTGATAAATAAACCAAATGTTATAAGATAGCAATACAAGACTTTCACTATTCCAAAGAGAAGCAATTCAATACTATACTTATTCAATACTATAACCCTGAAGTATTTTACTGCTTGCAGCCCTGAATTAATGTTGAGTTAGGTGAATTTATAATCTAAATTAAAAACAAACAAACAAATAGACAAAAATGTATGTGGGGGAGGATTGCACCTGTGTGACTGTTTTTAACATGGTTCTATATAGCCTGACATATTCAATTTTGCTTTACTCCTTTTCTTCAGGCTCTCCTTATAGAGACAAAATCACTATTGCCATTCTCCAGTTACAAGAGGAAGGAAAGTTGCACATGATGAAGGAAAAATGGTGGCGAGGCAACGGCTGCCCAGAGGAGGACAGTAAAGAAGCTAGTGCCCTCGGCGTGGAAAATATTGGGGGCATTTTCATAGTGCTTGCAGCAGGACTAGTTCTTTCTGTGTTTGTAGCTATTGGAGAATTTTTTTACAAATCAAAGAAAAATAGTGACATTGAACAGGTAAGTCCAGCTGAGTTCAGTCTGGGAAGTATCTTCACATAAAAGAATGGCATCCAACCTACCACACAAAACCCACTTTTGCCTTATTATTGAGTTCTGGAAGAGCTGCCTTCTGCTGAGCTAGCGTTTTGTACTAAAAAGATAACTGAAATAACTAATAATGAACCACTTGTGTCTTTTTATGAGTCACTCTGCCCAATACCAGTCCTTTCCCTATGATCAGCCCTATATAATAGGTTCCAGTTAGTGCTATGGGCACTTCTATAAGGCTATAGCTGTCAACAAAGTCAACGTGTCATTGCTTCATCATCATTATAACAATACTGTTAATCTCGATAAGACCTTTCTGCCTAGTGCAATGAAAGAAATGCAGAGTTCATGCTTTTTATGTGCAAGAGAACATACCTGGTAGTAATTAAGGTTCAGCTGAAAAGAAGTTATAGAATTTCAAGAGTCAAAGTGAGGATACAGCTGGGGTATTTTTCAGTCTCCACTGCTTAAATCTTTTGGCATTATCTGTGTGAGACAGAGAAAGGGAATGAAACTGGTATTTCAACAAAGGATTCCAAGCCTTACTGTTGAAAAAATGACCCTGCTAAATAAAAAAGGTCACAAGCATTATCCTTACCAATAAAAAAAAATAACTGTGTGAGAGAGAATGCAGGGAATATATAATATATATAATATAATAAATAAATAATATAAAGGGTACTACGATCTATGATAATATGGGCCCCCATGTACATATTTGCATGAAGATGAATTAGTATGTGTGAGTGTAGCCCCTAATCATATAACATCCATATTTGGCCAAACCATGCTAGAAAACACCATAATTTACTACAGGGTACATATCGTAATGTGTGGCATCTCTTTGTGATGCCTAAATCCCATTTGGCTCTTTTTATTATTTTTGAGGTGGAAAAGTTAAGAGGCAGACTGGTTACCTTAAAGTTCACAAAGGATTAAGTATCCCTTAATCCTCCTCTTCCTCACCTCCAGGAAAAGGCATCATGCCTTTTTGAAGATCTGACTCTCAACATGCAAAGCCTGGGGTTGCCTCAAATTTTTTCATATAAATATTTGTTACCATTGCAGTGATACCTTATTTTTATACTTACATGTTGGGATTGGTTTGGATCTCTGCTACAAAATTATATGAGATACAAGAATGTTATCTTCTTCATGGTTTAAAGCAGACAGCGATCAACATTAAAGCAAAGTTGACTAAGATATTGTGTTATATATATTCCTGAGAAAATGGATTGATTCTTGTCAGCCAATAAAATAATAAGAAAGTAAAAATTCAAATTATTTTTTGCAATTAACTTTTAATAAAAGAGATGACAAATATGAGGGTAGTTGCTAATTTTTAATATATTAACACATTTGATATAATACAGTAAAATCTGCAAATATATCCTAGAGAAGTTATATATTGGTAAATATATTTCACAAATTTCATTTTCTATAAGTATATTGTTTTATAAGTTTTGGTATCATTCTCTTTAAAATTTTGTTACATTGGTTAATATTCTTAATTTTTCTTTTTCTTCCATCTTTTTCTTTCTGCATGCAACAAGGCCTTTTGTTTCTTTTATGGACAACAATGTAAACAAACTCATCCATCCAACTCCATTTCTGGAACTACCTTATCTACAGAGTTAGACTGTGGCAAATTAATTCGGGAAGAACAAGGGATTCGAACACAACCCTCAATCCATACTGTATAGTTATCATAAAGGAAAGGTGTGTTTAGCTAAGAGCAAATTCTGACTACAACATACATTAAGGGGGAGAAACTCTGAGGTCAAAATAACTTATTTTTCCATGTACCTAAGGAAGTTTGGGGTTGGTATTTCCAATAGAAGCCTAGCAGGTGAAATAGCATAGGAAGAAGAAATAAAACAGTTAATCCTTCAGCCTATTTGAGAAAATGTAGGTAAATGTCTTACATTGTCCATACTATAGTAGAACATTATGAATATAATATGACAGTAGGTTGTTTTCTTTCCCAGAATAGCAGACCAGTGATGGTTGCAGGATTGGGATAAGGGAACAATTCTAAAAAGAAATAAATATAACAGTTGTGACAATGTGATCAAAGTCCCATCCATCTGTGCACTAATATAATTATTAAAAATGGTGGAGCTTTGATTGTGCTGCAGCAACCATCATCCTGTACTTCTGTACAGGTATGGTAGCTAGGTCTTGTGCGGAAATGTCAAAGCACTCCTCAAATGAAAAGTTCTGTACAGAACAAGTGTGTGTGAGCGTGGCTATTCTGAAACTCTCTGGATTTAAAACAGCCAATAGCAATCAGATAGAATCCTCATCTGTAATGCAGTGCATGGGCATTATCATTTATTTAACCATATGGCGAAAAATACGAATCTTGTTCCATTACCCCAGTGGGAACGCTCATTCGTGCTGGCCTTGCATGACTTAGAGCAGTTAACAGTTACATATCTTGCTGCTTGCATCTGTATTTCCATTGGGATCAGTAACTACTATGGATTATTTTTGTATGATTCATCTTTTTCAGACATGAATAATTTGCCTTCATTTTACTTCCCAGATGGAATTAATTAAAATCATACTTTTTCTTTGGAGTGAATGTAAAAATGAGGTTTTAAAACATTATATGTTTATCTTTATCAATAAGTTAATGAGGTCTTTCTTTTCCAAACATTCTATAACTAAAATACTCTACGGTGAATCTTATAACCTACTTTATTTGTATACTGTAGTTCGTTCTTTCGTTCTGCTTCATTATGCCAAAAACCTACTGTTTCTGGGCTTGTGATAAGGCCTTGCAAACACAGTTTAAGAAATCACCTCCCTTACAATTTAGCCAAGGAAACTATTGACTCGGGCTTCAATGCATAAGATATTTAACAGAATGTCAGAGTGCATCAATAACTTGGTAGTTGCCTACAGTTTTCTCTTCTCTGAGCCAGGAGCTCAGCACTTGGAAATGTATGTTTAAAAATCCAAAGTCACAGCTGTTAGGTAAGTAACTTTATGATGGCACTACTAGTGATTGAGTATGTTGTAGCCAGTGTAGATGGTTTCTTGCTGTCTATAATGTCTTTTTAAAAATGGATAGAACAGGAACAAAAACATAAAAAGAACAAAATAAAAAAAAATATTCTAAGAAAAAAGACTTTTTGGGACAGGTTGACATTAAATCACACTGAACCCCAACAGATAGATTGTGTCTACTATAACATTTTCCCCAGCTTCTTCATGTTTTAGTAGCACTTTGTTTTAAACTAGGAACTCCCATTTTCCACAGTGAGAATTATAGCAAAAATGGAAGTACTGTGTGAGATTGTGTTGTAGTGAATAATCTGGGAATCTGGGGCCCACTCACCTTCTAACTCTCAATACCATAGTCTCATGACAGGAAATGAAGACTGGGTACAGGGTGCCACAATAGGCAGGATAAGTGGATTATACCCAAGTAAACAATATATCTTTTAAATTTATTTTTAAAGTGAAAAGGGATTTATCTTGTGGTACAAAATGGTTGGGGTTGAGCAGAAGTTATTAATGCCTCACAGTATGATTGGCTGCCAATTGCTGGGGACTGCAGTACATTTACAAAAAAGTAAACATGACCATTCCCACAGCATTGTAAATAGGATGCTTAACTTGTAAAATCAACAATCAATGTTTGCTTGGTATTCATTGTGAAATTAACTGACAGGAAGCTCCCAAACTTTCATTCAATCATTTTAGGTACAAAACTGCTTAGATATAAAACTGTTTAGATCCTCTTCTTAGTGTGAATTTGAATGTAATAACTTAAAGTAGTTCAGATTATAATTAAGGCCCTTGATTTGTTAATATGTTTATATACGAAATACATTTCAAAAGTGATTATGATTGTTTTCGTCTCCGGATTCAGTCATTTAATTATTTATTCTCTGTGTGCCTTTGTTCCTTTTATCTAAATTGATATTTTAAGGTGTTAAATTATGCATAATATTTTTACAATGAGTTTCTGCACCGGTTTCATGCTTATCTTAATTATTCTGAATATAATCATTATTCAAGTAAATGAAGATGTATGATTATAATCTTCCTTTACATTTTTAAAAAATATTTTATATATATAAAAATATGGATGAAGAATAATTTTTGCATGTTTTATACAAGCTGACCATTAGATCATTATACTCATTTATTGCATATTTCTGTATTCTATGTCAGTCTTTCCAACTTTTATGTCTTCAGATGTATCAGACCACAATTTTCATTTCCCAAGAAAGCACAGGTATTAGAACATCTAGATGGCACAGGTGGTTTTTCCTTGAATGTTGTTTTCTTGTTGTTTTCATTTCCCTGATGTGAATATTTTGAGGGTCTTCTATTTTTATCTCAGTTAAGAATATTGTCTTACTATGTGATGGTAATAGATTTCTGATCTTTACATTAGTTGATAATGTTCTTGGGAGTATGACCTTAAGAAGAACAATACAGACTTAAAAAAAAAACTTCATGCAAGTTTTTACATTCACAGATTTTGACTTCTACACAGAATTTATAACAGAAATATGGAAAAATGGCTTGCTACTCTCACAGGCAGCAATTCTCTAGAGTGCTTTTTTATTCTTTCAGCAACTAGGAGTTGAATTTGGAACTTACTGCATTGAAAGCATGTTGAGTTCTACAGAGTAAAGGTGTTTTCTTGAAGATAAATATGAGAATTGTCTATTCATATATATATATACACCTGCCTACTTGCTGTAAAGTTGCATTTTTTTTCCTACTCCAGTCCTCAAAAACAGTCATACTGCAGGTGTTTTTCGAACAACAAAACTCATTTTCAATAAAACAGATGGAAAAGGGGAAAAACAAGTTCCCTCTTGGCCATGAACAACCTTATCACTTGGCCTGTTTAATTACGACTTTTTCAGTCCCTGTCCTACAATATATTCTTTTTTTACAAGACAGTAATTGATCAGGACTTTAATCTTTAAAAATGGTGTAGAAAACTTAGTTCTACAGTTTAAAGACTATCACTACAGTTAACATATGGTTTTGATTATTTACAGCGATTCCTCTTGTTAAGATACAGATGTATCTCAAAATTGCTTTTTAAAATGAGCATTGCAACTTGCAACTGACTAATTTGTTTATCAAAGAAACAAGAATCTGGCTTGCATTGCAAATGACACAGATTTAAATGAAGAAAACAAAACCTTCTTTCCACACTGCTGTAATTCTGTTGTTGGATCTTAAGTACTCTTATCTTGATATAGTTTATTTTATTTTGTTTTTCTCATGGCTGTACTGCTATAGTTTTTTAAAATTTATATTGGTTTTATTTTATTTTTTTACTATGTACATTCTGAGATCTATTAGCCACAGTGCACCTCATACAGGGTGGAAAAATCACAGCTAAGTCAAGAACTATTGAAGGCTGAAAAAAGAACTGACTATATTTTCTGGTCCAAAAATTAATAATATATAATCAAACAGTAACAATAAAGATGATAATAATTGGTGAAATATAATCACCATTATATTCATAATTATTTTCATAAGATATGACTGTCACATTTACAGCCAGGTTTAAATTCTATTAAATACATGGTAGAAATCTGCTGTTAACTCTAATAAATTTTTCTCTCCTATCTTTTATCAGTGTCTTTCTTTTAATGCCATAATGGAGGAACTCGGAATTTCACTCAAACATCAGAAGAAATTAAAGAAAAGATCAAGAACTAAAGGGCGTACATCTTTCACAAATATCCTTACTTGTCATCAAAGACGGACTCTTAGAAAAGAAACCATGGCTTGAATAAATGCAATTTTCCCTGTAGGAAATATCAGGAGAGAAGGCCTTGATGCCTACTTATGAAAAGACAACTATTTTATTTCACAGTCTGATTTTCTTCTTTTTAATCTAGAGGAAATACAACAGATTCAGTCTTCACATATGATTCAGAGACTACTAATCGTCCCAAAGCATTTCATTCTTACTTTTGAATTAATATCACCTTTTTTGCATCCTGTGCTCTTCCCTATTCTTTGCTGTATGTGCTTTATACATAAATAAAAAAGATTTTTGGGGACCAGAGTATCAATTTCTTCATATCAGAAATCATCAAATATTTATTTCAGTTATATGAAACTTTACATATAGGTATGTCTACATGCCATCTATCCTCATTAGCAATCGTTTTTTATACATTTAAATGGTACCTTAAATTAGATTAGTTCAGTGTTTCCAAGACTTGTTTTGTTATGGTAGGTTCCTCAGACACCCAGTTGTTTAGAGTTGATTTAGCATGTTCATTCACTTATTGCAGTTATAGCAAACCTTTTTTGCACCAAGTGCCCAAACTGAAATGCATGTGCATGTGCGCTTGCCAGCTGGTCTTCACAGACCCCAGAGCGCCAGAAAATGGCCCCAAAATGGCCTGGAAATGGCCCAAAAAACATCCAAACAACAGGCTGTTTGGGGGGCATTTTTCGGACCATTTTCTAGCGTTCTGGTGTTGTGGTATTGTTTATATTTTTAAGGACTTCCCATCCTAGCAGGCTCTGGAGAGTTTACAAAAATAGTAAAAAAAAACTTAAAAACACAAAACTATACAGGCAACTCAAAATAAAGCAATCATAACAATACAACAGGGACTCCACAAACCCCAGGCCTTGGCCAAGAGCCAGCTCTTACAAGCTTTCCAGAATCCCAAGACAAAGATTGCAGTCTATATGTCTGGGGGCATGCTGTTCCAGAAGGTGGGG